AGTGGACTATGAAGAAAGGACAAGGACCAAATTGTGTGAGAGATTGTATTTTCTTACCTTGATAGAAGCCATTAAAGGATTCTCAGGCTTTGGACATGCTGAGATCATTATCCTGCAGCAGAGTGGTTGGAGTTGGGCAAGACTGAAATGGAGGAGCTGATTTAGTGGCTGTGGCTAGAAGGAAGGTTTAAGCATTGGCTTGGAGAGGAGCAGGGTCGCTTAAGAAGGTAGGAAGGTGGCAGTGCTTGATTGTTAAGGCTGAGGCTGAAGAGGATGAGCCAAAGGAACTCCTAGGCTTCTGACTTTCTGACCTGAGCCGGGGGGGCCAGAGGTTCTCCTCACTGCTCGGGCAGCACAGAGGAGGTGTGGCGGGGAGTGGGATGCACCTGAGGGGGAACCCAGGGAGCAAGCCAGCCTGCACCTGACTCTGCAGGTCTGGAGTCCAGGGAGTGAGGTCTGGGTTAGAGATGGAGATTAGGAGGGTGGTAGGATCCAGGGAGGAGGAGAGGAGAGAACCCAAGGGCAGACTAGCAGTTGTTAAGACTGAGAAGGGGCTGTGGGGTTGGAAGACGAGGTGGAGGTCTTGAAGGGAAAGGGAGGCAAGCAGCCCAAAGGAAGGAGTGCTTCAAGTGTCGGCTCCACAGAGGTCAGTGAGGTGAGAACCAGCAGGGCTTGGTGACCTCAACAAGTCCACTTGTGGTGGGCCAGTAGAGACTGACATCCTGTTCTAATGGGTTAAGGAGTCAATGAAAGGTAAGAAATTACACAAATGTAGTCTCCATGCTGCTGCGGAGAGGCTTGGGTGAGAAGAAAGGGGAAGGTGACTAGGAATGATAGCTAGAGCAAATACAATGTCAAGGGAGGGTTTTGCAGGGCTCTGTAAATGCTGATGGGAAGGAACCCCTAGAGAGAGCTGGGTGACCAAGTGTCCCAGTTTGCCCAGGTTTTAGCACTCAAAGTCTCATGTCCTGGGAATCCTCACAGTCCTGGGAAAACTGGGAACTTGGAAGGGTTGGTCACCGCACTAGAGAAAGGTTACAGTATAGAAGAGAAAAGAGGGAAGATGGCTGGAGGAGGGTGTCCCTGACAGAGGCTGGGTACAGGTGCACAGGAATCTATAGTATGGCCTTTGCTGTCCCTGTGAAAGGGCCAGGTCACCGGGTGAATGAGGGAGTGAAACGGGAGGGAGCAGGTGGTGGGGTGGGGATTGAGGCCAGCCCAGGGGCTTGCTCAGGAGTACTGGACACAGCTGCCCTGAGACTTTGACTCTGTAGGGGCAGCTACCACCCAGTGCTGGGCTTTCTGTCCAGCAGACCTGGAGGTTCCGCAGGGAAAGCAGCCCCACCTTTGACCCATGCCACCCTTCTCTTTGTGTAACCCATCTCTTGTATGTCTTTGCAGTCCCCACCCCGTGAAGCCCCTCAGTGCCGCCCCTGTGGAGGGCAGCCCCGACAGGAAGCAGTCCCGCTCCAGTCTAAGCATAGCCCTGAGCAGTGGGCTGGAGAAGCTCAAAACAGTAACATCTGGGAGCATTCAGCCTGTGACCCAGGCCCCCCAGGCTGGCCAGATGGTGGACACCAAGAAGCTGAAGGTAAGGCCCAGCAAGGTATGGGGGTCATCTGACAGAATGTGTGGTGGAGTCTCAGGGCTTGATCCTGGGGAGGGTGGGGCAGAGAGCAGGCCAGGTCCCCCATGTCAGAGTCCTGAAGCCAGTTAGGGCGCCTCTGGCATTGGAGACAGGCAGCCCGGGGCCTTGTGGTGGTGAAACTTAGGTGTTGGTGGGCAGGGGGGGCAGGCAGGCGGGCAGGCAGGGGCGCAGGGGGGCAGGCAGGCAGGCACCCCGGCCTAGGGCTCCCCTGCTCACTGTCTTCGGTCCGGCCTCAGGACTCAGCTGTGCTGGACCAGTCAGCCAAGTACTACCACCTGACCCACGATGAGCTCATCAGCCTGCTCCTGCAGCGGGAGCGGGAGCTGAGCCAGCGGGACGAGCATGTGCAGGAGCTGGAGAGCTACATCGACCGGCTGCTGGTGCGGATCATGGAGACCTCACCCACACTGCTGCAGATCCCCCCGGGCCCCCCCAAATAGCCTTCCTCACCCCACCCCCAGGAGGGTTGGCATGGACCTGCTGCTGCCCGCCCTCCCTCCTGCTGAACTCTCTCATCTGCAGTGGGGCATCGTCTGTCTTGCCTTGTCACTCCTTGTTCCTCTCCCTCCTGCCTTGACTGGGGCTGCTGGAAGGGGGGCCCTCTGGATTCCCTTTGGAGGCATCAGGTTCTGTGCACAATTTGTGTATCTTTGGGAGCCCTGGGTCGTTCCCACCTGCCTGTTTTCATACCCCTCAGCTTTGAGGGCCCCAGGGAATTAGAACTCTTTCCCCCAAGACAGAGCAGGGGTGAACTGTGGCTTGATGCGGTAATCTGGGACAAGACTGGTTGCTAGCACATACTTTATTACCCCCCAAGGATGGTCAGCCATTTCTTCCCACAGCCAAAGCCCCATCCCCTTCACTTCCCTCCAATCCCTGGAGGGGCTTCTAGTATTCCTGGGACAGCGACCACGCTGCCTGTTTGTCTGTGAGTTATGGGCAACCAGGGTGCCTGCTCTTCAGCCTCACACCTGTTCTCCTGAGAGCAAGGAGCCTGTGTGGTCTGGGTCAGTCTCTGCCATGTCCTGAGTCTGTTTCAGTCTGGCGGTTTGTGGGGCGAGTGCCGTGTGGACAGAGGTGGATGATGTGTGTGCTTCAGGCTGCTCCCTGCCTCCTCTGACCTTTCCACAAGTGTCACATGGGAAAGTGTGGGGTGCAGGGGCGGGTGCGGGGAGAATACCTTTTTGCTTTTCGAGCTCTTGACCACCTCCAGTGTGTAGACCCCTCCAGGCTGGGGCTTGGGGCTGCTTATGTTTTGGGGATCAAGCCTCCATGTCTATTCTTGTTGCCTGTCCAGATGCCAAAACTCTGTGTTACTGCAGGGTTTGAACTTTTGGAAACCAATTAAAATGTGCCTTTTGTGTGCGGGGTCAAGAGCCCCTGGATGTCGACCTCTCCCGCTGTGTGGCGTCCCCCTCCCACCTGTTGAGTCCATAGGGATGGCTCTCTCAGGGCCCTGGGAATGGGAATGGGCAGCCCTACTGTGGCTCTTCCCCTCCCCTGGAGTTAATCTCTTGATCTGGCCAAGTTGCTGCTCCCTCAAACTTCCTGTTGTCTTCCCCTCCCTCAACCCCAATAGGAGGATCCCAGAATAAACACTGCTGGGCAGGCGGGCAGGCAGGCAGGCCTGGGGCTGCCCTGCTCACTCTCATTCTGTTTGGCCTCAGGACTTAGCCATGCTAGACCAGTCAGCTTGCCTGGAAGTGGGAGGTCCCACTATGCCTGTGGGAGACACCTATACTTAGGAAAAAGCCTTTGTTGCCCTCCCATCCATCCACTAAGCTGCTGTCTCAGCCTGTTCCTTCTGCCCCAGGGGCTTGCCTGGCTTGGCTGCAGTACACTTTGAAATGAAGTGTCTGTCCTTTGGCCCAGCCCCTGGTTTGCTTGCAGAAAATGTGGTAGGATTCCCCAAGGCATCTGCAGGGAACTTTGGCGGCTTGGGGCACCCTGAATTAGCAAAAATGGGGGGTGATGAGGTGCTGAAGGAGGATACTTACGGCTTAGTAAGGAGGCAAGAGCTCCTCTGGGACCACCACTTCTTCAGGAGAGGGCCTGTGGGCTTGCTTTTGGAAGGCCTCAGGCAGACACGTGCCCTCTGGGTGATGTCTGTCTGCCGCCAGGATGGAGCAGAGGAGCGCTACACATGGAGGAAAGCGCCTGTAACGTTATCTACCTTAAACTCCACTCATCAAAGCTGAGAAAAGTGTCCACTGGTCCCCAGGGTTTCTGTCATGCTTTTGGGGGTCATTGGGTATTAGAGAAGTAAGTACCTTTTCTGAGAGCAGGGAGTCACCCCCCCCTACTGGGGATTCCTCTGGGCTTTATTCAGTCCCAGCCCAGGCCCTGACCTTTGATTGTGGGCCTCCCTAATGCCCAGGGCATGGATGGCTTCAGAGGAGTTTTTGAATTGAAGCCCAGGGTCCTTGTTGATGTTTCTTCTCCTAGCCACACTTGGAGGAGAGTTGCAGGTGGGTTGGGCAGGGAGCAGGAATGGTTCTGCTTTGCTGTTTGTCTTCCTAGTTGTAAGGCTCTTTATAAAGAGCTTGTTCTTCATGTTTTAAGCACTTTATGAAGAATAAAACATTCATGTACTGCAGGTGGCTCTGTTGTGTTCCTGTTTTGGAATGAACAGGTACAGGTGGCTGCTGTGGGAGAAGGCACCTTAAATCAAGGTGATGGGATTCTTGGATGGCCCTGTCCCTGCCCTGACATCAGGGCAGTAACACAGTGTTGCCCAGTAGCCTGAACTTAGTATTTTCTGACTCCCAGGATACCCACATTTATTGTGCACCTAAGATGGGCCCGTTTATTGGTAATACAGAGGTTAAGAAATAGATTCCTATTCTCAAATTGCATGGTCTAGCAGGGGAAGATAAGATACAAATCTAAGATACAAATAGTTCTTCATGGCTAGATAGAATCTTTAAGATACAAATCCAAGATACAAATTGTTCTTCATGGCTAGCTAAAGTCTCCCTCCAGCTTTATGAAAAGTATTTCTTGTGGTTCAACTACTAGAGGATGAAAAACTTTGACTGCTACAGCCCGTGTAGTGTCCAGAAACACTGGCAGACATGAGCCAACCCTGCAGTCCACCATGAGACTAATGAGACCCAAAGTGGGGTTCCCTAGAAGACCAAATATTTCTCCTGTCATCTTGGGCAAAAGAGGCAGCTTCTCCAGTCCCCAAGTCTGGCTCACTGACCAGGTAATTCAGCTGGGAATCTTCAGCTAATCCATTCTACAACTGTGTGTGTTCATTATCCATGCTGGTGCTTACTCCACAATCTGTAATACTCCCCCTTACCTAACGCCCTCCCCACCCGCCCTAGTCCCAGGTTCTTCTCCTGCCCGGGAATTAGGCCCAGGAGGGATCTTCCTTGGTTGGCCAGACAAGGTGAAGGCTGTCAGGGCTCTTAATCCCCCACTGATGAACTCACAGCCAACACTTACTTGAGTCTCTACTGTGAGCCCTCTTACGTCTGGCTCAGAAAACTGAAGTGAATCAAAAAGTCATAGCCCCTGCCCTGTGAACCTTACAGTAAGAAAGACTATCCAGAACAGTAAGTAATTGTGAGTGCAAAAGAGAAGTGCTGGGTGCCACGGAGCCTCTATGGGATTTTGTGGAAGCAGAGTGATGGACTGGGAAATGCAATGTTTAGGCTAAAGCCAGAAAGAGAGCCAGCGTCAGGCGAAGATTTAGTCTTCTCGGTACAGAATGTTCAGGGGTCGCGGGGCGGGCAGGCCCCAGCATGCTCCAGGAACTGAGTGTCAGGACAGCGGGAGAGCACAGGACGAGTGGGCAGGGTGGCGACGGAGGAAACGATGAGAAGGTTCCGCAGTACAACTCCTTGCAGAAAGCCTTCCGAGGTTAACCCTACTCCGCCTGGAGTCTTTGCCCATCTGGTCCCAAGTCGGGCCCACTTGAATGGGACCCTTCTGGGCTGCCTGGCCCCAGGAGCGACGCCCACGGCAGCCACTCTAACTTCTGGGGGCAAGTAAGCAGCGAGGGGTGGCCCGTGGTCGTCGTACAGGCACACCCTTCCTGGGCTGCCGACCTTGCACCTTGCAACGCGGACAGCGGGCACCGAGACCTCCCCGGACGGCCGCAACTCTCTGCAGTCTAGGCTTGCAAGCGTCGGGACGCGAAAAACTACACTCCCCACAACGCCTTGCGCCTCCCGCTCGCTGCGGTTCCTTAGGGCCAATCGGGAGAGGCAGCTGTGGCGGGGGCCGAGGAGGGACATTTTAAAAGGGCCGGAGATTGCGGGCGTCAGTGGCCATGGCGGATACAGCGACTACAGCATCGGCGGCGGCGGCGGCTAGTGCTGCTAACGCCTCGAGCGATGCACCTCCTTTCCAACTGGGCAAACCCCGCTTCCAGCAGGTGAGGACCGGGCTGCGGTCTGCGGGTCGGCGGGTGGCAGAGAGACGACCAGCAAACTCCCCTCCAAAGTCCCCTTCCGCCCGAGGGTCTCCCACCAGCGGCCAGCGGAGCCTGCAGCTAGCCCAGGGGGGACTTCGGCCACAGCCACCCTTTTCCCATTGGTCAGCGGGGCGGGCACGGACTCTCACCGTGGCTTCCCATTGGTCCTTGGCGCCGTCACTCCCCGGCTGTCCGCGCCCTCTAGCCTTTCCCGCCCGCGGCGCCCTGTGATTGGCCACCGCTGGCTGCGGTCAAGGTCCCGAGCGCCCGGCTTCGAGCCGCTGCTCAGGGTCGCTCCGGGTTGTGCAGCCGCCCGCCCGGGGCGCAAAGTTCTAGTCCGGCCCTGGATGGGAAGTTGGCGTGGCCGGGATGCCTTCTAACTTTTTCCCCCGGTGGGGACTGACGTTCCTTTCGAGCTGCTGGCGGAACCGCCGGGCTGCGTCGTGCCCAGCGGTCACTCCCCAGCCCTGGCCCCCAAGCCGGGCCCGGCGCGCGCGGCAGGTTGGGGGGGCGAGTGCCGAGGCGAGCGGCGGTCTGGCGTCCCCTGTCCCGTCCCTGCTCCCCTTTTTGGGTTGAGGATTCGCTGGCGCAGCAAGCCGGCCGATGCCCTGCGGGGATGTAGCCAGGGCGTGCGAGGGAAACGCTGTGTCATCCCCTGGGGCCGTCGTCCCTCCGAGGGGCTGTCGCCCGGGAACCCCCCCAGCCTCTCCCTCGCGCTTCCTCTGCGGAGGGTCTCCCGCGCCTGGGCCCCTGCGTCGCCGGGCACTGGCTCTGGGCACACCCGCTCGGGCTCTTCGGGGCACGGCGACAGGGGTCCTTTCCCTCCGGGACCCCCGCTGGGGCGTCGCCGACTCGGCCCTGGACTGCGGAGGCGGGGGTGCAACGCAGAGCCCGGGCGCCTGGCTGGGCCCGGAGACCGGAGCCGGGGAGGGGCCGCTCCCGCGCCGCAGACCCTCGGGCTCCCGTGCCTCCTGCACCGAGGAGACGGAATTTATTGGGAAACGGGCAGAGAGACCGCTGAAGTGAACCGGGGCTTGCCGGGGGTGGGCGGCAGCCGAGGCGACCAGAAAAGAACTTTGCAGGAAGAAAGGAAATTGTACAAAGGTCGGTGCGGTGGCTTTTTTTTTTTTTTTTTTTTAATTTTTTTTGTTGTGGTGGTGGAAGGGGGATTGGTTCCAGCAAAGGGGGACCCCGAGCTTTGCTGATAATTAGGGAACTTGGCTCCTGAGCCGTCTGAAAAAAATGTCCCCAGTGTTTCTTAACAGGACTTTAATTCCTTTTAAAAGTAGGCCATCTCAGCATGTAGGTATCCGAGGTGAGACTGGCATCTTCCTTCCAGTGTAGGAGGCCATCTAGGGTGAGATTGTCGGGGTGTCCCTACTTGGACTTGAGTGACCTTATTACATTGCCTATCAGCGCTCCCACCCCCATTCTGCTCATCCTTACAGGCTCAGTTGGGCCTGCCTCTCAGGCAAACACTTCCTCCCTACGTCTCTGGTCCCTTTTTCCCTCTGGTCCCATGAGATTGCAGACTCCCTCCCGCACACCTCTTTGGCCACCTGAGTCGGATCCTCATAGCTCTCCATACAGTGCCCTGTGGTCTTCTAAATGTTTGCTGTGTGATGACTTGGTTTCCTCAAATCCCCTGCAGGCCTTTTGCGAGAAGGGGCTGAACTTGGCCTTCTCTGTCTCTGTCTTACCCGGATAGAGACAAGTTAGGCATACAGTAATGTGCCGAGTAAAAGATTTGTGGTTTTTTTTTTTTTTTTCCCTTGGTGTCTGTTATCTGTATGTGGCACTTGGGACATTCAGTTACCCAACGGACGTTTATCAAATATGTCTTAGTAGCTTATATGACTGAGCCCTTTACTGTGAGCACTGCTCTAGAGTAATAGATAAACATTTGAGGCTACCCTGTTCCTGCAGCCATTACGGTACTTCTTTCTGGCACTGCTCCTGCAGGCAGTAAAATTTAGTGTTTGTTGTATCCACTTTTGAAGCTCCCCTCCCCAGCATAGTGACCTGCATAAAGCACGTTGCATCTGATTCATCCATGTTAAGGATCTTCTCTCTAGTCCACACCTGCTCCTGCCGCATGGCTCCCTGGCTCTGCAAGCAGCCCAACTTGTCACCCAATCAGTGCAGCCAGAAGCCTGGGAGCTGCCTGTTCTTTCCTTCTTCTCCCTCACCCTTTAAGTGCAACCAGAGGCCCAGTGATCTTACCTCTTACACAGCTCTCAAGTCCACCCATCTCTACTGCCAGAATCCTAAACCAAGCCCCCGTCGTCTACTTCCTGGGTCACTGCAGTAGCCTCGCAACAGGTCTCCCTGCTTCCACTCTGTCCCTCTTCCAGTCCTTCCTCCTTCTGCAAGGCAGAGTCCCAACAATACAGATCTGATCAAGGGACTCCCCACACCCTTGCACATTTAAATACCCTCCAATGGCTTTCCCTGCTTCTGAGATAAAGACCTAACTTCTGAAGGGGCCCCCAAAGTATACATGGCCCACCCCACTGACTACTTCTTCCTTGAATCCCACCACCCAACCACCCACACCTCACACCCTCCTTCACATCACACTGGCTGCTTTTCAGCCTCTGAACCCACCATGTTCCCTCCCACCACTGGGCCATCTGCTTGGAACATCACCTCTTCCTCTGCCCGCAACTCTTGTTCCCACTCTTCCTTATCCCTGGTGTATCCATGAAGCATCACTTTCTTGGAGAAGCCTCCTGCCACTCCCAGGTTGAATTTTTGACTGTGTTTCCTTACTGCAAACACCTATCTCAGTGTATACATTGATTTGTGATGAGTATTTCTTTGCCATCTGTGTTTCCCTTTCAACTATGGACTTTGTGGAAGTGGAGGCTGTGCTTGCCTTCACTTGCTGTTGACTCTCCAAGGCTCATCACAGTGCCTGGTAGTTGAGAGGTACTTAATGAAGATTTGTCGTATACATGAATATCCTGGAGACAATTCAGTAGGGCTTTGTGGACTTGAATTAAATTGACTTGTAAGGTTGTGATTGGAAAGGTGGACCAATTTTCTCCAAATTGTCCCTTAGGGATCTTATAAAATTGCAACCACGTGGGGGCATGTTTGACAGTGTAAGATTAATCAGTGCTGAGACATTCCAGAGTTGGGGTGTCTCTAAGGAGGTGAGTCTAAAGACACAAAGATTGGCCATGTATGTACTGGGTTGATGAGCTCCTTTAGGGCCCAGCCCACATCTCTGTGTCCTGCTCTGGCATGTAATAATTGTGTAATATATGCTTATAGTACCTTGTGCTGGCCTGACAGAAGCTTGCTTCAAGGTAGTTGATAATCCAGGATTCATTCCCAGCACCCATGCCAGGGACATGATTCTTATTCCCCAACTAATCTCACCACTTTCTGCAGGATTTGGCACCAAGGTCTTTCCTTATTCCCTGGAGTCACTCTAGAGCTCCTCTTTATTCCCTCAAGGGTCTCCCTGTGCAAGAGGACAGGGGGAGAAAGAGGGTGGAGGGTGTGGAGGGTCAGAGTGTGAAGAAAGGGTGATGGGTGTTGGTGGTCTGTGACCATCTTTCTCCCTGTAAGATGGTGACAGTAGCCAAGCATCATTCCAGCCTTTTTGTATATTGACTTACTGAATTTTCACAACACTGTGAGGCAGGTGCAATGATCTCCAATTTATGGGTAAGAAAACTGCAGCACACAAACAGATTAAGTAACTTCCCAGAAAGTCTGGCTCCAGAGTTCGTGTTTGTTTGTTTGTTGTCAACTTTATTATGGAAGTTTACAAACATACTAATCTGGAGACAGTTGTCAGTGAACCTATGCACCCATCATCCAGCTTCAACAGTTGCCAACTTAAAGCCAGCCTTGTTTCATCTATACAGCCATCCCCACGACCCAACCAATGAATTATTCTGAAGCAAAGCCCAAACATCCCATCATTTCATTGAACCTACTAGTAGGTGTCTCTAAAAAATAAGGACTCTTTGGTTAGGTTTTTTTAAAATAAACTTTTTTGTTTTGGAATAATTTCACACTTAGAGAAGTCAAAAGACAATTCCTGCCTAGCCCTCACCCATTGTCCTCTATTATCGTCTTGCATTGCCACTTTGTATTTTTCAAAACTAAGAAACTAACATTGGTACGTTATCATTAACTACACTCCAGACTTAATTTTACTATTTTTTTACACTAATGTCTCCTTTCTGTCCCAGGATCCCATCCAGGAACATGTTACGTTTAGTCATCATGTCTCTTTAGCCTTCTCTGGTCTGTGGCAGTCATAGTACCTGGGACAGTTTCTCAGACTTTGCTTGTTTTTGATGACCTTGACAATTTTGGAAGATATTTTATAGAGTGTCTCTCAACTTGGGTTTACCTAATGTCTTTCTTTTGGGTAGACCGGAGTTATGGGTTTGGAGGTAAGAATATCACAGAGGTGAAGTGCTCTCTTTATCACATGATATTGGTGGGTTTTTTTATTTGTTTAACATAACCACGCCCTTAACACACCTAAAATCATTATTTCTTTTTTCTTTTTTTTAGAGACAGGGTTTCTGTCTGTCACCCACACTGGAGTACAGTGGAACAGTAATTAATGGCTCAATGCAGCCTTGAGATCCTGGGCTCAAGCAATCCTCTGGCCTCAACCCCCAAAGTAGCTAAAACTACAGGGGTGTGCCACCATGCATGGCCACATATATATATGTGTGTGTGTGTGTATGTGTGTGTGTGTATGTATATGTGTGTATATATATATTTTGTTTGTTTTCTTTTTTTTTTTTTGTAGAGACAGGTGTCTTGCTATTTTGTCAGGCTGGTATCAAACTCCTGGCCTCTAACAATTCTTCTGCTTCACCCTCCCAAAGTGCTGGGATTTACAGGCATGAGCCACCATGTCTGGCCCATGAATTCTTAATATCATCAAGTAACCAGTCACTATTCATATTTCCCTGATCATGACA